TGAGGAAAGGTGTAAAAGTTAACCTTATTTGAGGTTATGGTACTGGCGGATTGTGAAAACCGAGATCAACTTTGTCAAGATTCGATTTGAGGAATTAGGAAAAATTAATTATAAGTTATAGTAAAAATTTTCTTTAGAGAAATAATTTTTTTTTTTCAAACAATATAAAACGGTAATTAATCTCTTATTAATAAATTATATAATAATAAGAAAAATATCAATCTAGAAAAGAATAAAATTGAGGTTATGTCTTCGGCTAAATGTGAAATCTACATTACCGACAATAATGAAACAAATTTTTAAGGGAATAATTAAAAAAAAAAGTAATATTTATTTTGACACCTATTTATTAATAAACCGCTCATTAATATAAAGAGTAATAAAACTTTATTTAAATATTAATAAAAATAATTTCATAATAATGAATATTGTTCGTTTATTTATTAATGTTATCAAAAAATATTATTTAATTATTGGCATTTATCAAAATATTGTGTTGTTAATTTATATATTAATATATATATATATATAAAATTTGAGAGATTCGCATAAAATTATGATCGCGAATTGAAAAGAAATGATCAATTGACTAGTCATTAATTATTGCCGGGATGCGTTTAACCGGCTTAATGAACCGCGAGGCAGTTCACGCCACATGCGAACGCGTAGTCCGTTTATGCGTATGTCGTTCCATACGATCGTGTGTTTATTTCCACAATCAGGCGTCATAATGCTATTATCAGAGGGTGGAATACACGAGAGGGGGGAAAAAGGGGGGTGGGGGTTCACCCCATTGGTAACTCTCCCACATGACCTACTGGTATACCGACCCCATTAACTCTTCACACCATCAAAAATTATCATATATATATATACTTTTTTTTAAATTTTGTAAGTTATTAGGCCAAATATTTCCTTTTAATATGATTTATTTTACGTTTTTTTTTTTTTTATAACGACGTTTCGGCAACTACCGCTACCCTTATCAAGTTATATAATTTGTCAATAATTATTTTCTAACATCAAAATGAAGCAATTAAATATTGTATTTACATTTCAGTCATTTTATTTTGTAAATTTAAAAATATTTTTGAGGTTATCTCATTTTGAGGTTAACCATTCGTTTTAATTTAAATGAAACTAATGAGGTTCAGGTAGTGTTGATACTTCAGATTACGATATTATCATATTAATTTATATTTATATTTTATATTAATGAACGAATTATATTATAAGTGAGAACACGAGGTGCCGATTTAGTGACTTGGAGAAGATCACAGAAGTAGTAAAAGTAAGATCACAGCGTCGCATGTGTATAATCAAAATAGTGCCGCCTACTGGCGCTCTAATAGAACTACAAATAAAGGCGGCGCTTATATCTAATTTCTAACATTATGATTTATTCAAAAATAATTAAAATTTTAATTAAGGACAACAGAAAATTGTGGCTTTGATATTATTAATACATAATTTTTTTTTTATAAGGATAAAACAAAATTTAATTCTTAAATTTTTTTCTTAAAAAATATTTAAGAATATTTCCCGTTCATTTTATGAAATTAATTTATTAATTAACTAAATATTATTAAATTTGATTAAAATTTAATTTGACAAAATTTTATTTTAAATATAAATTTTTATAATTTTAATTTAATAAAATTTTAATTCTATTAATAAAGGAAAAATTTATTTAAAAAAAAAAAAGGATGAAATGTTTCAAATTTCATGAAAAAAAAAAATTAGCCAATTCTTATATATATATATCGTAATTAAATACTCTATTAATAATTTAATTAACAAAAGTGACACCTTGAAAGAAAACGTCATTCTTGATATATATCTTGAAGTAAAAATAATATCCTCTCGATTTTAATTGAAGAATAAAATAATTTAATTAAGAATTCAAAAAAAATTCAATATAAGAGTCCCATTGAATAAAATAGAAATGATCTTCCTTTGTTTTTTTTTAAATATCAAAAATATTTTTTAGTGTCAACACTAAAAATAAAATTAATTATTATTTAAACATAAATTAAGTGTGGGTTATTAAAATATATAATTTTTTCTCATATACATATATATAAACGTTGGGTAAAAATCTAAAAATATATTGTGTTTGTTCGATAGCTGCGAATTTGTTAGCGTATTATATTGGATCAATTAAAACTAAATTCAGTCAACAGGATGTTATTCAAGGGGAATCGAAAAAAAAATATCGAAAAATTTTCATTTTAATTTGTGTGTTATATGAATAACCTGCAATATTTCGGGGCATATAGTTTTTTTTTTTTTCATTTTTTTTTTTTTTTTCTAAGTGGTAGAAGCGCAATACCGCATTTGGTACGTGGAGTATGTTTAAGCGCGATGTGGTCACTGTGGGTACTCACTTTAATCCGTGGGCAAAAAAAAAAAAGGAGGAGAAAAAAAAATGAAAAAAAAAAGAAGAGGGATATAAATCGATGAAAAGTCCCGACGCAAGCGGGAAAAGTGTCGGCGACACGCGAGCAGACAATGAGATATTAATACCTCCCATTTGGTTTCGATTTCCTGGAAAAACGGTTGATGGAGATAAAATTACCACCGACAACAGGAACACCGTCACAATAAATCAGGCGCTCTTTTTTTTTTTATTATATTTTATTTATTAACTTAATTCATCTTAGTAAGTTACAATTAATTAAATTTTTTTTTAAACTGATTTTAACTTCTGTTTTTTTTGGGGGGGGGGGATTTATTTTTGTCGTTATCAATGTATATTTATCAAAATCTTCACGATTGTAAGAAATTTTAATGATAATTTGAAATGAAGAAACGTGATGATTGTTGTGAAATTTAATTGAAGTTCTGAGGGTGTAATAAAGTTTCCATGTGAGTTGTCTAGATAGGAGAAATTCGTTAAACCAGGAATGTCCGAGAATCAAAAGGTTATTGAGGATGAAGATTGCCCCCTTTCGATAACATGGTACTAAGATACTGCTATTTCGTGGCTAGTCGAGTATCTTGATTGAGATCTTGTTCTCCTACCATTCTCACAAGAATTTCATTCCTCTCAAGTTTAACCTAAGACTCAATTGATGATCCAAATCAGTCAATCAGTTTGTTAATTACTTTGTTATTTAGCTAATCAGTTAATTTAATTATTAGTCAACTAATAACAATAACAATAATAATAAAAATAATAATCATAATAATAGTTATGATCAGTTAGTTTCTTTTAGCTATAGTAGCGGATTTTTAGTCTCTCCCACTAAGAAAAATAAAATAAAACAACCACTTGAAAAAATAACAGTAAAAACTTGTTGAAAATTTCCGTTACTATTGGGGAAAAAAAAAACCTTACGAGAAGAATAGATTTTCCAAGAGGAAAGTATTGTACCTTCGCCAGATGGTTTGTGGGTGTTTTGGCACGTGGATCATACAATCCAATTTTCGAAGGATACAGGCCCTCGTTTTTTTTTCAGTTCGTTAATAGACTGCCGTTTATAAAATTCTACCATAGATAACCGTTAGTTCCGGATGATTCGTCATAAATGCTAGATATATACTCAAAGTCCAGTGGATCATCTTCAAAAATATGGCTCTAAATATTAACAAAATTTTGAACACATGTTACTGTTTTCAAATACGAATTTATATTATATTCTTTTTTTTTTAATTTCCAAGTGGAGAAAATTTTTTTTATCATTTAATTTTTAGAGAAACCCCCCCCCCCCAAATTGTTTAAAAAAAATTATAACAGAAATTAATTAACGAAGATTTAAAAAATTACAAAATAAATAATATAAATAGAGGGGAACATACTCAGGGGTTGGACACTTCGCTTTTCTTAAAATAAGAACTAGCGCCATCTATACACGAACGTGGCGAAGCTTCTCTTAGTGAAACCTAACTTTTTTGTTCCATTACATTTTTGGAGGATCAAAAGTAGCGTCTGCTATGACGTCGATGCATTTGTAGAAACGAAAAAAGTTTTGTGAGCGATGTGATTAAACATAAAAAATGAATAAAGAAAACAAGAAATCGGAAATGATAAGTTTATTGCACTCAATTGACTAAATTTATTTTTTAAAAAAAAGATTATAAACAAATTCCAAAACGGTGTCCAACTTTGAGTATATATAATCCCCTATAAAATATATACAATGATAAAAAAAAAAATTAAAACAAAAAAAAATGTTATAATTAAAAATTTATTTACGAAAAAAATGTAACGTATTTTCCTTGTAAAGGAAGTTAGACTATCTTTCTGAGATAAAGCAAAAAAAAAAGAAAGAAAGAAACGGTCAGTGCGTAAATTGTATACGTCGCATGTGCCTCTGATCGTTAAGAAAGTTCATAGAGCGTGAAAGACGCTCCGCACGGGGCATAGAATAACACCTGTAGGGGGTAATGATAAACCGTATTTTAAAGTACGTTAGCGTTAACACCGTAACGAAGACGTTGGCAGAGACTTTTTAAAGGGACACTTTAACGTAGGGACCTTTAAAAACACCATATAATTAATTTTCAAACAATTTTTTTTTTTTTTTACTAAATTTTCTAAAAAGAATCTTTTTTTTCTAATAATTTTTTTATAATTTTTCAAACGAGAAAATTAGTTAATTTTTTAATTTACAATTTAATTTAATTTATAATTAAAAAATAATGTCTTATTAATTAAAATAATTACAATAAATGTAAATATTGAATTAATTATGAAATTAATATTTAACTAATTGTAAAAATTATAATATATGAAACTAAAAACAAAAAAAAAAAAATATTAAAGTGTAACAAAGATCTATAAGATATATCGAAATAATAAAAAAAAAGTTCTTAACCTTTGCTCGTTGTGAAAGAATTATAAATATGTAATTTTTTTTTGATCAAAATCAATAGATAAGTTATTGGAAAGATTGAAATATAAGATTTAGCTGATCTCATAGTTCTTTGTAAATTTAATTAGATTCTTCAAATACTAAAGCTTGCTAACACCAAAGGGCAATTATATGAACACATACATATATATATATATATATAAGTATTTGTTTTAAAGCCCGCATATCATTTATCTTTTTATCTTTAAAAATCAGTATAAATACCTTATCTTTTCGAAATAGAGTTCAGTTTATCGAATCTATTGATTCATAAAGGTAAACGAATAATTTTCTATTATCTCTTCTTTTGTTTAAATTATTTAATATTACCTTCTACTTTTTTTTAAATGTATTTCTTTAATTTAAAAATTTATTAACTATTTATAATAATAATAATAATAATAATTATTATTATTATTATTACTACTACTACTGTTATTATTATTCTTATTATTATTACTACTACTATTATTATTATTATTGTTCTTATTATTTTTATATTAATTTTCTTTTTGTAATTAAAAAAATTTTTTTTTCAATTATACAATTTTTTTTTTGATTAGGTAAAAAAATGGCTAAATATTTATTTGCACTTTGCTTGACAATTTTGATCGCCAATGTTGTCGTGGCAGAATCAAATGATGTGGAGGAAATTTTAAATCAAGAAGTTAATGCATTTCTTAGTTATCCAAAATCATTAATATCAAAAGATATTCTATTTGATGTTTATTCTGATATTGAATTAGATGAGGAATCCGGAAAATGTATTCGTCCTTTGAGAAGAGTAAGTACCCTATTTTAATTAATAAACATTTAATTTTATTTTAAAGATAAGATATAAAAAATTAATATCTTTAATTAAAAACTTTCATTTAGTATAAAATATAAAAATTAATGAAAAGTATATGTTAAAATTATAAAAGCCATTAAAAAAAAAAAAAAAAAAAAAAAATTGAAGAATTTCTTTTTGGGATTAAAAAATGAATAAACAAAATTTATGATTTTTTTTTTTTTTTAGTGCGATAAAGGTGGTGATCTCAGATGCTGCCGGCATCTTAGATGCGGAAGGATTATAAAACGTTGTCTTCCTGCTTGGTTAGTTCCCAAACCACCGGAGACAACAACTGAATCATAATTGTATGAAAATTATAGTTTTAAACATCTAATAAAATTCTAATGTGAAACTAATTTTGATTTTTATTTATGTTAATTGATACAATAATTATCAAGTTAATATTGCAGTAATGTAACTATCAGTTTGGGAATATTAATTCTAACTAGTATTAGTAGTATTTTTATTAGTATAAGTACTAATACTAATACTATTGTTAATACAAATACTACTAATACTAATAGTGATATTAATACAAATACTAGTACTGATACTACTAACACTAATAGTTGTACTAATAATACTAATACTAATAGTGCTACTAATACTAATACTACTAATAGTGGTACTAATACTGATACCAATACTGATACTAATACTAATACTACTAATAGTGATACTAATACTATCAATACTGATATTAATACTAATAGTGGTACTAATAACTGATACTACTAGTACTGATACTGATACTAATACTAATACTACTAATAGTGATACTAATACTATCAATACGGACATTAATACTAGTAGTAGTACTAATATTGACACTACTAATACTGATACTAATACTAATACTACTAATAGTGATACTAATACTATCAATACTGATATTAATACTAATAGTGGTACTAATAACTGATACTACTAGTACTGATACTGATACTAATACTAATACTACTAATAGTGATACTAATACTATCAATACGGACATTAATACTAGTAGTAGTACTAATATTGACACTACTAATACTGATACTAATACTGATACTAATACTAATACTAATACTAATACTGATACTAATACTAATACTGATACTAATACTACTAATAGTGATACTAATACTATCAATACTGATATTAATACTAATAGTGGTACTAATACTGATACTACTAATACTGATACTGATACTAATACTGATACCACTAATACTGATACTGATACTTATACTAATAATACTAATAATACTAATAATACTAATAGAAATACTAATGCTAATACTATTAATACAGATATCAATTCTGATACTAATAAAGATGCTGATACTGATACTAACACTACTAATACTAATAGTGATACTAATACTGATACAAATACTAATACAGATACAAATATTAATACTAATAATACTAATACCTAATATACTGTATAAATACTAGTATTTCTGCAAATAAAAACAGTAAATATTTTGAAGAAAATGTGAAAAAAAAAATTCTTCTCTAAAGTTCATGTTAGACAATTGTCCTTTTACGGCTGTGTTCACAATCGTGGAATCATAAATCGAAGCAATTGCGGTTGGCATGAAAGCTTTCCGAATACAGGCAGCAGGCTTGCTATATTAGCTCTCGTAGTTAGATTTTAGTTTAATGATTTCCGCTGGACAATGACTGCGGTAATAGCGTCCGAATCCTGTCCGCCTCGTTCCGACCGAGCACATTCTCCGAATGGTTCCGTGGCATGGACCCCGCGCGTATACTTGACTATTCATATATATATATATACAACACACATTTCTCTCTGTGAACGCGTCCATGAAGTAAAGAGCTTTATGTTAAGTTTGCACATACAATCGATTTTCATGTGTATTTTCAATTAATTACTTTAAATAATTTATATCTCCTAAAGCAATATACACGGAAAAAAAAGAACTCAATTTTTATTTTTAGATTATTTATATTGTGTATTATATATATATTATATATTACATATTGTTATAATATTACTTTTTTTTTGATCATTAATAGCGATAATAAATGAAAATGTTATTTTGTGATTTTGTTAAAGAGATGTCCATAGATTCCATGAGGAAGGGTTATTCTAATTAGAATTTCCGCAATAAACTTTATCGTTTAGGACAATCAGACAATAACGATGAACCCCAAAACTGAGATCTTCAAAGTTCAATGCTTCGATTATATATATAAGCTAACTTAAGATGGTACATCAATTTTCCAAGTATACATTCAGAAATATATGTTTCTTTGAATCATAAAGAAGTATTTTTTTTTTTTTTGATACAGTGCAGGTCAGTCAAATGTTTTCTTTAATTTAAAGAAAATTTATTTGATTTCAAGGTTTTTTTTTTTGCTAAAGATTTTTCTCCTTAGCGATCGATTGCTAAGGATGTTGTTTTCCGTAGCAACGGTTACTAAGAATTTTTTTCCTTAGCAACAGTTGTTAAGGTTTCCTTATCAGGTTGCTAAGGATTTTTTTCCCTTATCAACGGTTGCTAAGGATTTTGTTTTACGTAGCAATGGTTGCTAGGGATTCTTTTTCCTTAGCAACGGTTGATACGGATTTTTTTCCCTTGGCAACGGTTGCTAAGCTTTTTTTTCCATGGCAACGGTTGCTAAGGATTTTGTTGTTTTTTTTTTTAATTGAAAAATTTGTTTGAAATGAAAATAGAAAATTTATTTTTGTAAATAAAATGAGATAAAAAAAGAAGAGTTTTTCAGAAAACTGAGAATCGAGAAACGCTGCTGATGACAATTTCTATTACTAATTCTAAATTCAACAATATAGAAATTATGAACTATAGCAAATATAATATATTCGTAGAAATTTTGTTTGTTTCGTCAAATTGTATTTAATTCTGACATTCACTATATATACAGTAAACTAAAATATGTTAGATATACATAGAAATGATATTTGCTTTCTTGCTTCTATACGTGACTATTTGAAATTAACTGCATCCTTTTTTACTTCCTATTTCTCCATCTCTTGATTCTAGTTTTGCCTTCCTCGCAAAATGCTTGTCCTTCGAAATCGGATTTCAGTCAAATCGTTTTTGCTTTTCTCTCTCTCTCTCTTTTCAAAAAGGTTGAATGAAAGCATTTAACTGTTATATTGTTTCTGATGGCTCATTTTCTCGAGCTGTTATTTAAATCTACCATTTTCATTTCTGAATTCATATTATATATCTCGTCTATATCTTCACATGAATATATAAACCAAAGAAAATAGAACTGATTTAAGCAATATTGAAAATTCATAACTTTTTTTTTCACAAGACAAGTTTAATGTACTATTTCAAAAAAAATAATTACTTTCTTTTTGTAAAATTTATAAAATTATTTACACTAGATATGATGTAAAAAATGAGTATGGAGTTTTAGTAATTTTAGAATTATTAGTCGAAGTAAATTTTAGTTAGACGCAATTTTGGAAATGAGTTAAAAATTTTTGTATCTTTGAATTAATAGTACAAAGTAAGTAGTAAAAGTAAATTATAGTCAGACACAAAGTAAGTAAATAAGTAAGTAAGATTTCAGTTTTTATGTGTAAATAGTTAAAGTACATTTTAGTCATACATAATTTAAGAAGTTAAAACTTTAGGTATCTTGGAATTAGTAGTAAGTAGTAAGTAGTAAGTAGTAAGTAGTAAGTAGTAAGTAGTAAGTAGTAAGTAGTAAGTAGTAAGTAGTAAGTAGTAAGTAGTAAGTAAGTAAGTAGTAGGTAGTAAGTAAGTAGTACGTAGTAAGTAAGTAGTAGGAAGTAAGTAAGTAAGTAGTACGTAGTACGTAGTAAGTAGTACGTAGTACGTAGTAAGTAGTAAGTAGTAAGTAGTAAGTAGTAAGTAGTAAGTAGTAAGTAGTAAGTAGTAAGTAGTAAGTAGTAAGTAGTAAGTAGTAAGTAAGTAAGTAGTAGGTAGTAAGTAAGTAGTACGTAGTAAGTAAGTAGTAGGAAGTAAGTAAGTAGTACGTAGTACGTAGTAAGTAGTAAGTAGTAAGTAGTACGTAGTACGTAGTAAGTAGTAAGTAGTAAGTAGTAAGTAGAAAGTAGTAAGTAGTAAGTAGTAAGTAGTAAGTAAGTAGTAAGTAGTAAAAGTAAATTAAAGCCAGACACAAAAAATGATTTGAATTTTTATTTGTTGTAGCAGTAGATTTTAGAATAAAATTTTTACATCTTGCAAGTGTTATCATTGCAGGCAGACTAGTATTGCAAAGTGGAAGTATGTTGAGAGCGATTGAGTCTGGCTAAAGCGGTATAGGAAACGCATACATTGAAATTCTTACACGTTGATGTTTACACAGATGTGTCTATACATATACATATATATATATATATATATAGTTGCAGTGGGGTGGTTGATTTGCGAGCGTCCAGCATCCATAGATCGACCCATCCGATGGCATCGACTCCCCAGAGCAGTCCTTTCTGCCTTCCTATCCCATCAGCGAGAATGTATGTAGTCAAGGAACACAAGGGGTGAGGGGGAGAGCGGGGCACCCGATAAGCGTGTAACCTAATTCCAACGATCTGATGTGATCTGTACCTAATGGTATCTAAGCCTACAAAATTTTACATAATCATCATCATCGAGATCATTTATATATTGCGACACAAAAACAAATTTATTTCCAAATTTTCAGAAAATAATACTCTTTGGGTTTGATTGTTGCTTCTCATAGAGATTTTTTTTTTTTTTTTTGATAATGATTAACGAAATTACAATGTTAATTCATTTTTTTATGGATGACTAAAATTTAGTTTAACTACTTATATAGATATTGAATCTTACTTGTTTACTTATTTACTTACTTGCTTAATGATTTACTTAATTACTTACTTATTTACTTACTTATTTACTTACTTATTTACTTACTCATTTACTTACTTACTTATTTACTTATTTACTTACTTATTTACATACTTACTTACTTACTTATTTACTTACTTATTTACTTACTTATTTACCTACTTATTTACTTAAATATTTACTTACTTACTTACTTATTTACTTACTTATTTACTTAATTATTTACTTACTTATTTACTTACTTACTTATTTACTTATTTACCTACTTATTTACTTACTTATTTACTTTGGGTCTGCCTACTTACGGCTAACTCCTTACTAGTAATTCCAAGATACCTAAGATTTTAACTTATTTTATAAATTGTGTCTGACTAAAATGTATTTTAACTACTTACACCTAAAAATTGAAATTTTAGTTACTCTAACTTACTTACTTATATGTTTAGTTACTTACTTACTTACTTTGTGTCTGACTAAAATTTACTTTGACTACTTACACATAAAAATCCAAATATTTCTTTGTGTCTGACTAT